GTTGCTCTGAGAGAAATTCGTCGTTATCAGAAATCAACGGAATTGCTTATCCGCAAATTGCCTTTCCAGCGCTTAGTTAGAGAAATTGCTCAAGATTTTAAGACCGATCTCCGATTTCAGAGCTCGGCAGTTATGGCTCTTCAGGAAGCCAGCGAAGCTTACCTCGTAGGATTGTTCGAAGATACCAACTTGTGCGCCATTCACGCCAAGAGAGTCACCATCATGCCTAAAGACATTCAGCTGGCCCGTCGTATTCGAGGAGAGAGAGCTTAAAATCATAATTTGTTAAAAGTAAAAAAAAAAAAGGCCCTTTTCAGGGCCATACAAATAATTTAATAAGATTCAATATAATTGCTATCATGTATTCCGTCTTTTTTTTGTACATTAATTTTTTTACTTTACATTAGATCATTCTTTTAAATAAAGATCTATTGTGATAGCAATTATTCCATCTAATTAAATTATTTGTAATTTCTGAAAAGGGGCTTAAAACACCGAACTGTGCGTTGTAATAACTTACGAAAGTTAAGAATAGAACGACTTTTCAGTACAAATGTATACAGCAAGATGGCGCCACTTCTCAGATGCGCCTTAAACTCCCTTCACCTATAGCTTAGCATTAGCCTTTCTTTCCGAGTCCCATGAGTTAATGTTTTATAATGTACATGAAAATATATACGAATGTGTCCTGGGAGCACATCTTTGTGCGAATTTTGAATGAAATATATATATGGAAAAGATTTAGCAACGTATGCTGCAATTTTCAGTATAAGCAATTAAGCATTCTCTTCTTCGTACATTTTCTGGCCCTTAAAAGGGCCTTTTTTTTTTGTAGCGTTAGGGGAAGTAGGAATTATGCTTTCTTTTCGGTTTTTTTGGGAAGTAGAACAGCCTGGATATTGGGTAGAACTCCACCTTGTGCAATTGTGACGCCAGAGAGTAATTTATTCAACTCCTCGTCGTTTCTGATGGCCAGCTGCAGATGTCTTGGAATTATTCTGGTCTTCTTGTTATCTCTAGCAGCATTACCGGCCAACTCAAGAACCTCAGCTGCCAAATATTCTAAAACTGCAGCAAGATACACTGGAGCTCCAGCACCAACTCTTTCTGCATAATTTCCCTTTCGCAGAAGACGATGGATACGACCTACAGGAAACTGAAGACCAGCACGGCTGGACCGAGTCTTGCTCTTCCCCTTTACTTTGCCACCTTTTCCACGACCAGACATGACGATATTATTTGTGGGGTATACGAAATAATGACTGGCGACGGTCCTGGACAGACATTTTTATCAACTCTGTACTTATTATGTCTGGCCAATCAGATTCCGAGTTTTGAATCCGAATAGAATCGTAGCCTCGCAATATTTGTTACGTACTCATCGTTGAAACATGAATTGTCATTCCTCTTGATTCTTCTCTAAATTATTTAAACCTGTTATATCAAATTTTACTGTACTGAGTAAAAGCATTTCATGACCAAGTATTCATAATTACAGAATATTATTCTTATTAAAACTAATGTATATTATATACATTTAATTTTACTGGTTATTCCTTCTCTTTCAACTAGCGAAATGCTTCATTATACAAACTTCTGGCATATAGTTTCACTGTATATATGCACTCCTACTGTACTCCTACTGTATATATGCACTCCTACTACTTCACTGTATATACTACTCTACTACTACTGTACTGTACTACTACTACTACTGTACATATAGTTTCACTGTATATATGCACTACTACCTATATATGCACTCTACTACAAGTAGAGTGAGTAACTAGTTGTGTATACAAAAAAAAAAATTAAAAATGTATATATATACTTACTTTAAAAAAAAAAAATTAAATAATATGAATCTATAAAAGGTACACAGTACACGGTCAACATTTCTTCGCCAGAATAGGTAAGCACAAGTGCTGTAGAAAAATCTGCACAAGAATGAATATATTGTGAACCAAAAGAGAATTTAAGAACTCCTTCATTCCAATTTAGTGCATCCAAGGTTGCATCCAAGATAGGTTGCATCCAAGATACCCGAAGCGAAATCTACCTATTAGCCAGTCAGGGGACATCTTATCCACTTCAAACCCTTCTCGGTCACAACCAAATCCCTAAAGAAGCTGTAAGTGCTGTACATACCGAAAACGTAGTTGATTTCTTGACATTTTTAACAGTTATTGAGCTGTAGAAAAGAAAATATAATGCAATCTTCTTTTTTTTTTTTTTGTTTTCCATCTTCTTCAATTGCCTATATTTTTTGCCTTGCACTGAGGTAGTTTGGCAGAATTTGTTTATATGAAATCTCTTAAATTTATTTCTCAGTTAATTTATTGAACTCTATTTTTCGGAACAGTGAAGTAGTATTCATTGAATAAATATTGTTAAGTTTCTGATGTGTGTGTACACTGATTAATTGACTGAACTTGGTAGTTCTTCAATTCATATCACACACGCCTAGTATTTTCGTGCATTTAGCTGCTGAAAAATTATCAGTAAAGATGCAAAGTAAGTAATTTAGAACTAAATGTTCACAAAGATCAGATACTGAAATTAATAATTCATAAATTTTAAGTAATCCTGTCAATGCATTAGCCAATTTACGAAATGTTAAAACAATAACTTTTCAGAGAAGCTATACCCCTACTGATTAGAAGAAATGCTGTGCTGCAGCAGATCTGCATATATATATTTAAATTCTGTAAACATAAATAACTATCCAAGTAAGTTGCTATAGGTATGGCTGTCTTTCATTGAAAATACTTAGTTACATAAATGTTGGGAAAAAAAAGACAAACAAAAGGTTTTATACATTTTATTTCTACACTAAATCAAGTCACACATAATATAACACAGAATCAAAACATATTGCAGGAATGCACTTTAATCATCACTCTCTGTTGGCATTTAGTGAGGAAATAAAACTGTTGCCACTTACACTGTCTATAAATAGCTATTGAAATACAATATCCCTCAATATGTTTGTGGGTGGGAAACATCCAATAGAATTCATTCCTCAAAACAATGCTATTGTCCTGAAGTGACCCCTCAGCTGATAAAGTGGTCAGATCAAGTCAGACAAGTGTAGCAAGATGGTGCACGTGATGTTTGATGTTTTAATTCCACCAAATGTAGGATATTGAACTAAAGAATATAGTTTTTATTGGAAGGTAAGTTCATTTAAGATTATATTTTCGATTTGTAATAAGTAATATTAATATTAATAGCTGTCTATAAGTAATATGAATATTTGTATGATGAAAGAAATTTGCAAAACAATTTTTTTCCTTCTTAGTGTTCATTGTTTATGTTTTGCCTAACCAGGTTTTTCGTATGAAATGTCTTGTAATTTTTTTTTCCTGTTGTGTAAATGTTTATTGTTTATAATAAGAATTGTTTTGGAAAAAAATAATATCCCATAATTCTAAATGCTTGGTGAAGTCTTCCACTTAATATAGTGTGCATCTTCATGCTATGTATTTGTATTTCATTTGATCAAATATTTTTTTATGTTAAAAATATTTATTTGATGTCATCTTTATTTGTATACTTCGTATTTGCAATGTATATGAAAACCCTGAATACTTTACTATGTATGTACATGTGAATACTTTGCTGTGTATATGAAAAAATGTGTATTTATTTCATAGTGCATCAGTGCCTTGAAGGTATGCATGTTGAAAGATACAACTGTAATTTTGGATCATGAAAGATAAATGTTATGGACTGAAACTGCATTACACTGAAAATATTGAACACATGAAAAACTGAGTAGTCTTATTAATCATATTACATACATGTTCTGAGCGGATTCAGCAGGATGATTCATTTATGTGATCATTATCGGTTCGCATTTGAGTAATAACCCAATTTCCACTTTAGAGAGAGAGAAGAAATGAAATGTGACCTATTTGTATGTTGTTAAAATATTTATTTTTAGTATAGGTAGCGGTTTCTTTTTTTATTGTTTGTGGTATGAAATATCGGATTTGTGGCATGAAATGTCAATGTTTGTTGTATGAAATGTTGTCAAAATATGTACTTTTAATGAATAAAAATGTTTTAAATATGGTTTTTTTAATGAAAAATGGTTTCAGAAATGTCACATTTGTATTAAGTTGTAGAATCAATGAAAAACTGAGGAAACGACTGTATTTTCTAATGCGATAGCGAAGTGAATGAAAAGTTTTTGAAGTCGATGAGGAGACGAATGTATTTTCTAATGCGACAAGTAAGTCCACAAATTATAAATGTGGCAACGAAGGAAATGATATGTTCTGAAACTGAGGAAACGACTGTATTTTCTAATGCGGCAAATGTGAAAAATAAGTCTATAAATTATAAATGTGGCCACGAAGAGAATGAAATGTTCCTTATATCTTACCTTTGTTGAATGTATTCTTTCGATAGGCTCGGAGAAAGGCTGTGGTCAAACCGTTTGCGAAACATGCGAGGATTTATGAAAGCAAAGCAGTGACAGAAAGATAGCATTTTGTGATGCATCAGAGTTTATTAATTATAAACCGGCAAAAGCTGAATTTTTTAAATATTTAATTAAATTTTTTTTAATTAAAAAAATATGATTTATTTGCGGAGAAGAAATTTCATCCAGATGATATCCCCACCCCACCCCCTACCTTCCTTCCTTCCTGCCCCCCTTTGGGATTCGAACCCGGGCCTTCCGGCCCGGCAGTTAGCTTCGCTAACCACTGTCCCGTCTGGGCAGGCTAGCCAGTTTCCTGTCCCGCCAGCACTTGCTATGCTTTGCATACCGTTGAATGTTTTCGTTCCAGTTACTCGGAGAAAGGCTGTGACTGAGCTAGTGAAACGATTCGTGATACGTACACCTGAAAACTACGACACTGATATGCATACATTTTGATAAATAGCAAACTTATGAAAAACCACCTGCATTGAAATGTATTAAGGCTGATTTCCGGAAAGCAGTGTGTATATAAGTGAGCTGGGACTAACTGCTAAAGTACAATTTTTCCTTATTCGGTTATTGTGTGTGTGTATTAGATCCTCATTTTGAAGATAAGAAATTGGATGCAGAGCAATGAGGATAAAGATGATGACTTGTAGAGCTGAAATATATATGATCGATTTCTTTTGCAAAGAGTGTGAATTAATTTTAAAAATGCCAATATGAAATTATAAATTGAACAATGAGTGATTTAAGGATAAGCAGGTAACAGCTAACCTTTATCATATTCTGGCCCTGAAAAGGGCCTTTTTTGATGGGTAAAGCTTTGAAAATTTACTTAGAGCTGGTGTACTTGGTGACAGCTTTGGTTCCTTCCGAAACAGCATGTTTTGCCAGTTCACCAGGCAACAATAGACGTACTGCAGTTTGTATTTCTCGGCTAGTGATAGTACTCCTCTTATTGTAATGAGCTAAGCGAGAAGATTCAGCTGCAATTCTTTCGAAGATGTCATTAACGAATGAATTCATGATAGACATAGCCTTACTCGAGATGCCAGTGTCAGGGGGTGAACTTGTTTCAAAACTTTGTAGATGTAAATAGCGAAAGATTCCTTCCTGCGCTTCTTCCTCTTTTTCTTGTCACCAGCTCGGACAGCTTTCTGTGCCTTTCCGGCCTTCTTTACAGCTTTCCCAGATGCTTGAGGAGGCATTTTTTAAGAGTCTTGCGAATGAACGAAAATCCAAAAAAAGGCACATTGGATGCAGCATATTTATTGAATTTCATTCTTTTCATTTCCATCCAATGAGAAACGTTCTAATACAGCCTATCTTGGACAGAAAAGGTTCATTATAATACATATATATATACAAATTATTGTTATTACAATTTCATATTACTGATATTGTGGATTATAGTTTACGAGCCACATTTTTTTAAATTTCTAATTTATTGATTTTTTTTTTTTTTTTTCTTGTTCTTCCCTTGGGGGGTGGGAAATCTCTTTTCCAATAGGAAGTACTTATGACAAATAAAACCCCTCTTATTAATAAAAGTATATGACAGATGTGCACAAAATCAAGTAATACTCTAAAACTTCGAATTTTGGGTTACTTATTGTTTATTTCGCTATTTGTAAGCGTCAACGGCCATACCATGCTGAAAGTACCGGTTCTCGTCCGATCACCGAAGTCAAGCAGCATCGGGGCGCGGTCAGTACTTGGGAGGGTGACCACCTGGGAACACCGCGTGCTGTTGACATATTTTTGTCCCCTTGCAAATTTTTATGCTTCCATAGTAATAATAATTATTTAAAATACCTTTTTTTTTTTGTCTTTATATTATAGGAAACCTGTACTTTATTAGAATTGAAGAAATGCAAGCTTGTATATTGTGCAGAAAATAAGGTAAATATAAATAAAACTTAAAAGTTCTTCACTGTATATTAAAAATTCTTAAAATAAAAAAGGGAAGAACCTTACTTTATCATACCTCTTTCCCTAATATAAGTATATAATAACGTAGATGTAAATAACATTGGCATTGCCTTTATATTCAATACCACGTAGTTTACACATGCTACATTTACGATGACAGCGGTATTTCATATTTTGTCTCTACTTAAATATACAATATTTTAATATATGTATAGTGAACTCAAATTCCTTAATTATTGAATCAACACAGTGTTTGAGTAGCTTTCTCTAGGGCTTCGACAACGACCGAAATTTTAATATATTCTACGATTATTACAGTATTTTTTTCCCCTGTTGTGTGGGCGGAGTTAGTTCATCCTTGCAGGAATAAAATTTCATGTACTTCAGAACTCTTTTGGATTATAATACCGTAAGTATTATAGAAAACTGTTAAAAGAACTAGGGAAATATTCTAGGGAGCATAGACAGGGATGGAAATGACATTAATTGTTTGTAATTCTATCACTCTCCTAATAATTTCTTCCTTATTGGTCGGACAGACACTAATTTCGTCACGTGACAAAAAGCATAAAAATGCGCGCGTCTGTGGTTCCCGCAGTATATCTGAATTTACTCTTGAAAGTTACGTTCGTAGAATTTTGACCTAGCAGAAAATGTCTGGCCGTGGGAAAGGTGGTAAAGGTCTTGGCAAAGGGGGTGCAAAAAGGCATCGCAAAGTGTTAAGAGATAACATCCAAGGAATCACCAAACCTGCAATTAGGCGTTTGGCAAGACGTGGCGGTGTAAAGCGTATCTCGGGCCTCATCTATGAGGAGACAAGAGGAGTACTTAAAGTTTTCTTGGAAAATGTTATTCGAGATGCAGTTACCTATACTGAGCATGCAAAAAGGAAAACTGTCACTGCCATGGATGTCGTTTATGCGTTAAAGAGACAGGGACGTACACTTTACGGATTTGGTGGTTAGAGACCTCTTTACTTTCCCCACACCCTGCTCTTTAAAAAAAAAAAAAAAAAAAAGGCCCTTTTCAGGGCCATACAAATCTTAAAATTTAGAAATGCCTTTATTGCTGTCATATAATTTCACCTCATGCTTTTCTCTTGAGTCACATTTCAGTCCAATTAAAATTAGCATTTAATGTTCTATTTATGTATCTGAATTCTAAAGTTAATTGCTTTCTATGTCTCTAAATTAAAAAAAAAAGAGCTGTAATTTAAAATTTTCACAACAAGATTACAAATTAAATACAACATTTTAAACTTAAAAAAAAATCCCACTTTAAAGTCTTTGAAAAAAAGTATCAATATCTAGAGTAGTCACACATAGGACTCTCTTCTTCAGGAGCAATAAAGGCATTTCTTTTTTAAAATTTGTATGGCTCTGAAAAGAGCCTTTTTTTTTTTTTTTTTTCATTTGTACATTTCAATACACAATCCCTTACTTCTTGCTTTTCTTTGGTGTCGCCTTTTTAGCAGCTTTAAGTTTTTTTCGCTTTAGGAGGCTTAGGTTTCGCTGCCTTTACCGCTTTCTTCGGGCTTTTTGCTTTACTCGCCTTTTTAACACTCACTTTCTTAGCGGCAGGTTTCTTTTTCTCTTCTTTAGCCTTAGCTGGCTTCTTAGCAGCTGGTTTAGCCTTCTTGGCTGATGATGCAGCTGCTTTTTAGGCTTCTTTTCTTGCTTTCCTGACTCTTTACCTTTCTGACCGGATGCGCTTACTTTAAATGAACCGGTAGCTCCTTTTCCTTTTGTCTGAACCAGGCTTCCACCCGCCTACAGCACTCTTTAAGTATTTCTTGATGAAAGGTGTCAAACGGTCAATATCTACCTTGTGATGTGATGCAATATGCTTCTTAATAGCTTGCAGAGATGAGCCACCGCGTTCCTTCAAACTAGAAATAGCCTCCACGACCATTGCTGAAACCTTAGGATGCGACGGCAACGCTTTCGGTTTCTTACTCGGACTTTTCTTCGCCTTTTTTGGCGTAGCAGCCACAGGGGTAGCGGAAACAGTAGCAGTTTCTTCAGCCATCTCGCTCACAGTTTTGCAGAGAAATGAATCAAATTTCTGAGTTACTTTAATGTTATACAATAATGCTAGGTGGCGCTTAGAAATCTTTCGTCTGCAATAGGTCTCCTTAGTCACGTGATTGGAAACAAAATTGATAAATAGGCCAGGTCTAAATTTCGCGGGCACATTTTCTCGTTTTAACGAAATCGCGGACCTCTCGATATGGCTCGTACAAAGCAGACTGCAAGGAAAAGTACCGGAGGTAAAGCTCCTAGGAAGCAGCTGGCCACCAAAGCTGCACGTAAAAGCGCACCAGCAACCGGAGGTGTTAAAAAACCTCATCGTTACAGACCAGGTACTGTTGCTCTGAGAGAAATTCGTCGTTATCAGAAATCAACGGAATTGCTTATCCGCAAATTGCCTTTCCAGCGCTTAGTTAGAGAAATTGCTCAAGATTTTAAGACCGATCTCCGATTTCAGAGCTCGGCAGTTATGGCTCTTCAGGAAGCCAGCGAAGCTTACCTCGTAGGATTGTTCGAAGATACCAACTTGTGCGCCATTCACGCCAAGAGAGTCACCATCATGCCTAAAGACATTCAGCTGGCCCGTCGAATTCGAGGAGAGAGAGCTTAAAATCATAATTTGTTCAAAGTAAAAAAAAAAAAGGCCCTTTTCAGGGCCATACAAATAATTTAATAAGATTCAATATAATTGCTGTCATGTATTCCGTCTTTTTTTTGTACATTAATTTTTTTACTTTACATTAGATCATTCTTTTAAATAAAGATCTATTGTGATAGCAATTATTCCATCTAATTAAATTATTTGTAATTTCTGAAAAGGGGCTTAAAACACCGAACTGTGCGTTGTAATAACTTACGAAAGTTAAGAATAGAACGACTTTTCAGTACAAATGTATACAGCAAGATGGCGCCACTTCTCAGATGCGCCTTAAACTCCCTTCACCTATAGCTTAGCATTAGCCTTTCTTTCCGAGTCCCATGAGTTAATGTTTTATAATGTACATGAAAATATATACGAATGTGTCCTGGGAGCACATCTTTGTGCGAATTTTGAATGAAATATATATATGGAAAAGATTTACCAACGTATGCTGCAATTTTCAGTATAAGCAATTAAGCATTCTCTTCTTCGTACATTTTCTGGCCCTTAAAAGGGCCTTTTTTTTTTTGTAGCGTTAGGGGAAGTAGGAATTATGCTTTCTTTTCGGTTTTTTTGGGAAGTAGAACAGCCTGGATATTGGGTAGAACTCCACCTTGTGCAATTGTGACGCCAGAGAGTAATTTATTCAACTCCTCGTCGTTTCTGATGGCCAGCTGCAGATGTCTTGGAATTATTCTGGTCTTCTTGTTATCTCTAGCAGCATTACCGGCCAACTCAAGAACCTCAGCTGCCAAATATTCTAAAACTGCAGCAAGATACACTGGAGCTCCAGCACCAACTCTTTCTGCATAATTTCCCTTTCGCAGAAGACGATGGATACGACCTACAGGAAACTGAAGACCAGCACGGCTGGACCGAGTCTTGCTCTTCCCCTTTACTTTGCCACCTTTTCCACGACCAGACATGACGATATTATTTGTGGGGTATACGAAATAATGACTGGCGACGGTCCTGGACAGACATTTTTATCAACTCTGTACTTATTATGTCTGGCCAATCAGATTCCCGAGTTTTGAATCCGAATAGAATCGTAGCCTCGCAATATTTGTTACGTACTCATCGTTGAAACATGAATTGTCATTCCTCTTGATTCTTCTCTAAATTATTTAAACCTGTTATATCAAATTTTACTGTACTGAGTAAAAGCATTTCATGACCAAGTATTCATAATTACAGAATATTATTCTTATTAAAACTAATGTATATTATATACATTTAATTTTACTGGTTATTCCTTCTCTTTCAACTAGCGAAATGCTTCATTATACAAACTTCTGGCATATAGTTTCACTGTATATATGCACTCCTACTGTACTCCTACTGTATATATGCACTCCTACTACTTCACTGTATATACTACTCCTACTACTACTGTACTACTACTACTACTGTACATATAGTTTCACTGTATATATGCACTACTACCTATATATGCACTCTACTACAAGTAGAGTGAGTAACTAGTTGTGTATACAAAAAAAAAAAAATTAAAAATGTATATATACTTACTTTAAAAAAAAAAAATTAAATAATATGAATGTATAAAAGGTACACAGTACACGGTCAACATTTCTTCGCCAGAATAGGTAAGCACAAGTGCTGTAGAAAAATCTGCACAAGAATGAATATATTGTGAACCAAAAGAGAATTTAAGAACTCCTTAATTCCAATTTAGTGCATCCAAGGTTGCATCCAAGATAGGTTGCATCCAAGATACCCGAAGCGAAATCTACCTATTAGCCAGTCAGGGGAACATCTTCATCCACTTCAAACCCTTCTCAGTTCACAACCAAATCCCTAAAGAAGCTGTAAGTGCTGTACATACCGAAAACGTAGTTGATTTCTTGACATTTTTAACAGTTATTGAGCTTTAGAAAAGAAAACATAATGCAATCTTCTTTTTTTTTTTTTTTTTTTTTGTTGTTTTCCATTTCTTCAATTGCCTATATTTTTTGCCTTGCACTGAGGTAGTTTGGCAGAATTTGGTTTATATGAAATCTCTTAAATTTATTTCTCAGTTAATTTATTGAACTCTATTTTTCGGAACAGTGAAGTAGTATTCATTGAATAAATATTGTTAAGTTTGTGATGTGTGTGTACACTGATTACTTGACTGAACTTGGTAGTTCTTCAATTCATATCACACATGCCTAGTATTTTCGTGCATTTAGCTGCTGAAAAATTATCAGTAAAGACGGCAAAGTAAGTAATTTAGAACTAAATGTTGACAAAGATCAGATACTGAAATTAATAATTCATAAATTTTAAGTAATCCTGTCAATGCATTAGCCAATTTACTAAATGTTAAAACAATAACTTTTCAGAGAAGCTATACCCCTACTGATTAGAAGAAATGCTGTGCTGCAGCAAATCTGCATATATATATTTAAATTCTTTAAACATAAATAACTATCCAAGTAAGTTGCTATAGGTATGGCTGTCTTTCATTGAAAATACTTAGTTACATAAATGTTGGGAAAAAAAAGACAAACAAAAGGTTTTATACATTTTATTTCTACACTAAATCAAGTCACACATAATATAACACAGAATCAAAACATATTGCAGGAATGCACTGTAATCATCACTCTCTGTTGGCATTTAGTGAGGAAATAAAACTGTTGCCACTTACACTGTCTATAAACAGCTATTGAAATACAACATCCCTCAATATATGTTTGTGGGTGGGAAACATCCAATAGAATTCATTCCTCAAAACAATGCTATTGTCCTGAAGTGACCCCTCAGCTGATAAAGTGGTCAGATCAGGTCATACAAGTGTAGCAAGATGGTGCATGTGATGTTTTGATGTTTTAATTCCAACCAAATGTAGGATATTGAACTAAAGAATATAGTTTTTATTGGAAGGTAAGTTCATTTAAGATTATATTTTCAATTTGTAATAAGTAATATGAATATTAATAGCTGTCTATAAGTAATATGAATATTTGTATGATGAAAGCAATTTGCCAAAACAATTTTTTCCTTCTTAGTGTTCATTGTTTATGTTTTGCCTGACCAGGTTTTTCGTATGAAATGTCTTGTAATTTTTTTTTTCCTGTTGTGTAAATGTTTATTGTTTATAATAATAATTGTTTTGTGAAAAAAATAATATCCCATAATTCTAAATGCTTTGGTGAAGTCTTCCACTTAATATAATATCAGTGCATCTTCATGCTATGTATTTGTATTTATTTCATTTGTATTCAAATATTTTTTTATGTTAAAAATATTTATTTGATGTCATCTTTATTTGTATACTTCGTATTTACGATGTATATGAAAACCCTGAATACTTTACTATGTATGTACATGTGAATACTTTGCTGTGTATATGAAAAATTTTGTATTTATTTGATAGTGCATCAATGTCTTTGAAGGTATGCATGTTGAAAGATAAAACTGTAATTTTGAAACGCTTGGTATGCATCATGAAAGATAAATGTTATGGATACTGAAATGAAACTGCATTGCTGAAATGCATGAAAGATAAATATGAATGACTGAAATGAATGATGAAACTGCATGACTGATATGATGAAAACTGCATTACTGAAAATATGAAACACATGAAAAACTGAATAGTCTTATTAATCATATTACATACATGTTCTGAGCGGATTCAGCAGGATGATTCATTGATGTGATCATTATCGGTTCTCATTTGAGTAATAATTAGAATATTTGAAGAATTTACTCAAAAGCTCATTTAAAATGCAGATGGAATCATCTCACATTTCCCAGAATGCGTGCAGTTTTAGTGAATATTACCCAATTTCTTGCAATTGTTATTGATTGATGTTTTTGTGTATTGGATGAAATATCGGATTTGTGGCATGAAATGTCAATGTTTGTTGTATGAAATGTTGTCAAAATATGTATTTTTAATCAATAAAAATGTTTAAATATGGTTTTTTTAATGAAAAATGAAAATGGTTTCAGAAATGTCACATTTGTATTAAATTGTACAATCAATGAAAAACTGAGGAAACGACTGTATTTTCTAATGCGATAACGAAGGGAATGAAAAGTTTTGAAGTTGATGAGGAAACGAATGTATTTTCTAACGCGACAATCAAGTCCATAAATTATAAATGTGGCAACAAAGGAAATGATATGTTCTGAAACTGAGGAAACGACTGTATTTTCTAATGCGGCAAATGTGAAAAATAAGTCTATAAATTATAAATGTGGCCACGAAGAGAAATGAAATGTTCCTTATATCTTACCTTTGTTGAATGTATTCTTTCGATAGGCTCGGAGAAAGGCTGTGGTCAAACCGTTTGCGAAACATGCGAGGATTTATGAAAGCAAAGCAGTGACAAAAGATAGCATTTTGTGATGCATCAGTAGTTTATTAATTATAAACCGGCAAAAGCTGAATTTTTTAAATATTTAATTAAATTTTTTTTAATTAAAAAAATATGATTTATTTGCGGAGAAGAAATTTCATCCAGATGATATCCCCACCCCCCCCCCCCTACCTTCCTTCCTTCCTTCCTGCCCCCCTTTGGGATTCGAACCCGGGCCTTCCGGCCCGGCAGTTAGCTTCGCTAACCACTGTCCCGTCTGGGCAGGCTAGCCAGTTTCCTGTCCCGCCAGCACTTGCTATGCTTTGCATACCATTGAATGTTTTCGTTCCAGTTACTCGGAGAAAGGCTGTGACTGAGCTAGTGAAACGATTCGTGATACGTACACCTGAAAACTATGACACTGATATGCATACATTTTGATAAATAGCAAACTTATGAAAAACCACCTGCATTGAAATGTATTAAGGCTGATTTCCGGAAAGCAGTGTGTATATAAGTGAGCTGGGACTAACTGCTAAAGTACAATTTTTCCTTATTCGGTTATTGTGTGTGTATTAGATCCTCATTTTGAAGATAAGAAATTGGATGCAGAGCAATGAGGATAAAGATGATGACTTGTAGAGCTGAAATATATATGATCAATTTCTTTTGCAAAGAGTGTGAATTAATTTTAAAAATGCCAATATGAAAATTATAAATTGAACAATGAGTGATATTAAGGATAAGGATAAGCAGGTAACAGCTAACCTTTATCATATTCTGGCCCTGAAAAGGGCCTTTTTTGATGGGGTAAAGCTTTGAAAATTTACTTAGAGCTGGTGTACTTGGTGACAGCTTTGGTTCCTTCCTTCCGAAACAGCATGTTTTGCCAGTTCACCAGGCAACAATAGACGTACTGCAGTTTGTATTTCTCGGCTAGTGATAGTACTACTCCTCTTATTGTAATGAGCTAAGCGAGAAGATTCAGCTGCAATTCTTTCGAAGATGTCATTAACGAATGAATTCATGATAGACATAGCCTTACTCGAGATGCCAGTGTCAGGGTGAACTTGTTTCAAAACTTTGTAGATGTAAATAGCGAAAGATTCCTTCCTGCGCTTCTTCCTCTTTTTCTTGTCACCAGCTCGGACAGCTTTCTGTGCCTTTCCGGCCTTCTTTACAGCTTTCCCAGATGCTTGAGGAGGCATTTTTAACAGTCTTGCGAATGAACGAAAATCCAAAAAAAGGCACATTGGATGCAGCATATTTATTGAATTTCATTCTTTTCATTTCCATCCAATGAGAAACGTTCTAATACAGCCTATCTTGGAGAGAAAAGGTTCATTATAATACATATATATACAAATTATTGTTATTACAATTTCATATTACTGATATTGTGGATTATAGTTTACGAGCCACATTTTTTTAAAATTTCTAATTTATTGATTTTTTTTTTACTTGTTCTTCCCTTGGGGGGGGGAAATCTCTTTTCCAATGGGAAGTACTTATGACGGAATAAAACCCCTCTTATTGATAAAAGTATATGACAGACGTGCACAAAATGAAGTAATACTCTAAAACTTCGAATTTTGGGTTACTTACATATTGTTTATTTCGCTATTTGTAAGCGTCAACGGCCATACCATGCTGAAAGTACCGGTTCTCGTCCGATCACCGAAGTCAAGCACGAGGCCGCGCC